TAGAAGAGCTTTGCCAAAGCCTTTCGCGAAATCATACTAGGGCAATACCTAGCCCATTACTTGCAGACTTTCTCGTATTTTCCACGAACAGTAACTAAGCAGTTGCTGGCTGATTCCTCAGCCTTACTGATTTCAAATGATTTCAAGAAAAGCACTGAATTACGGAGTGGACGTTTTAGCCTCGGCAGTACAGATCAGAAGCCCTGGGCTACATGTCCATGGATCGGGACATGTACAAATTTATCAACTCTCGACTAAGAGCTGTGAGCTGAGAGCTTCTCCGTTCTCTACAAAATTGCTTGATTTGAATTTTTTATCTTACGAACTATGTTTCATATAATAATACTATTTAACTATATTTTGACTGCTGAGACATATGACACCCGATTTGTCTAGACAGTTTGAAGGATAAAAGGATAAAACTTCCGCGTTAGTCGATTTCTCATCCTTTCTCCTCCCCAGCAATCGACTTCCTAACAGTGGCAAAGTAGATGAATGCCCCAGACGAACCTTTATTTTCAAATGTGTAACGGTTGTGTGGGTGTCATAGACCAAACATCACACCCCTTGTCTGAGACCCTTTACCCTTTGATGAAACGGACATGGTCAAATAAGTAACAAATATACGTCAAGTCTGGGTAGCGTTGACTGAGTTCTTCCTGTTTTCCAGCGAAATTAGGCCTCAGACCTCCTTTATGCTTGTCGACAATCCAACACCTCACCACTATGACTACAACTGATATCATCTTTAATTTTAATGGATGTTACAGTACTCCCACTTGGCAATCTGGGAGCTTTTCATCGATTGTATCGGTAGGCTTAGCTTTTAAACATGGTCGTTCGCGGACCCTCTTACTTCCGGGTACGGAGATCGCACGTATTCCCTTCACTTGGCCAGGTGATACAGTCCCGTTCACCTTGGAAATCGTCCTTCAACTACAGCTTTTCTTATTATAATCCTAGTCAAAGGTATACAAGTCGTTTGAAGTGACTAGACGTCTTGGAAAAAAAGAGTTATCTGCTACAGAAATAAATATTAGGTAAATGTAATTAATTATCTGGGTAAACTTTCGATTTTCCTTCAATACGCTCTTTTCGATGATGGATATGACAATTCCTATAATCGCCATATCAGCCATAATCAATCAGTTGAATAATGGTAAATTAATTAACTAGTAGACTATAGTATGAGGATTTCAATCGATGGCACTGGAACAGACTGATAAGGCGACATAACAAAAGGTATCACAACGAGTAACTGAGTACACTGAGCGCCATGCAGGTTGGTAAATAACTGTCTTTATCACGTGGGTTACTCTAAAAAGAAAGGGTAAAGGAAGGCTGTGATGAAACCAGGGTCACCACAATCTTTTTGAAGGAGACGAATATGTGGAGAGAAATGGGAATTTACGGGAGCCAGACGGAACATCCACAGGGTAGAGCTCCCTCTGCTGATGGTGAGAGGCCAAGAAAGAACAATAACTTGATGTTGATGTTTACTATATGCAAACATTTACAGTTGCAAGAGAACAACAGAAATAAAATGCAGTAAACAAGTAGGCGAATGAATACAAACAGGCGATAAAACTGAAAGCGACTCGGTTAGGACAACAGGATAACTGGAATAGTAAGGGAGACAGGAACCGGCTAGAGCATCACTGGAGAGCCTTGCTAAGATAGAATTTGAGGATGTTTACTCGTTGTTGCCTCAGCGAAACGCGGTAAACAACTAGTTCTCTGTACCGACAGTAGCTCAGAATATGTGAAAACTGCTAGATAATTAGGATTCCAATTAGTTGGTGGATTACCCGTGATTCGTTGATGATCGTAAAAAGTCATAGATCCGCATTTGATCAGACATAGGGTTGCGGGTTAATCATGACGGGAATTACTATGGCACAGTAAATGAGAACCGGTTCCTCTCCGCCAGCAGCAATGTGTCTGCCCGATTGCTACCACTGTCTCTGGCAGACGTAAAATAAACAGTGAGAACGGTGAGAACAAATCGACCACATCGACCTATCAGCCAGCCAGAAAATTGTACGTGAAAACGGGTTTCACGTAGGACGACAGCGAAATGTTTCTCTCAAACAAAAGAACTGCCATAGCTCAAGAGATTTTCACAGTTACACTTTTCCTTCCCTCTTGAGTAAGCCATGAATGAGCAAAGCTAAATGGTAATCCAAAGGCAGAAGTGGTTGGCTCAGAACTGTGGTACGCTTTGGGAAGACCGAACTCAGTTCCGTCGTTCTGCGGATCTTGTCGAAAAACAAGAATCCTTCCCGAATGAGCTTCCAGTGTTGTGGAGTCGTTTGCTTGAAGTTCAGACTTGTAACTACCCCAGTTTTAAATCCATTTACAATAAAAATATTTTCTAAGTCACAGGTAAAAGGGTCATAAGCTCAAGTCATATCCAGCCTTGGGGCCGACAGGTCCTCCACGAACGATCTAGGGATGGAAAAATGCTAAGGGTGAGAGGGAACAGATCCTTAGGTTGTAAGAGAGGTTCACCAAGGGTAACCACTGAAGAAACTGTGGCTCGATTGCTTCTCAAACAGCTGACTAAGGAAGACCTTTTGACGACGTTTACACAAGATTTGTATGTAAAAGAGAAAGCTGATTCAATGTTTGTCTACCTATTGCAATAGAGCCGGCTGTTATGAATAGATAGAAAGGGTCGTTTCCGCTGTTTTTTTCCTCTCGGCAAGGAATCCTCGAAAAGGGTTGTCAGTTCTCGGGGCAAGGAATCCTCTTGAGAAGGGTCGTCAGTTCTCGGGGGTGGGAGATCGATATTACTGAATAGGTTTCGGTTTCAAGTAAGAGGTGACTAATTCCTCTCTACTTCCCTGTATCAAGGTATCAACAATCCTGAGGAAGAAGAAGATCGTCGTCTCCCGAAGCCAAACCAGGGAGATTTGAGGGTTCCAACGTGTTCCAGGGAAAAATTACATTCTGTCTAACGAACAGCTCAACCTGAGTGCAGGATTCCAAGAGAGAATACCTCATGGGAAAGAATCGACAAAGAAAGAATCAGCAGCAAACTAAACTCAATTCAAACTCTGCCTTTTATGGAATTATAAAAAAGATGTGGGGCTAATCGAACCGGTTGGTTCTGAGAGGCTAAGGCGATACTGACGAACTGGAAACACCAGTGCTAATGCATCACCCTAATTCAAATCCATAGGTCCATATCCGATTACATTTTCCAATTATAAACACCCCTATAGAACCTTTTAGATCGGATATCATATTGCCAATTGTGGCATTATTGATGAATCCGCCACTGGGGGTGCATGGCTATACTAAAGCCCAGCAAATTATTTATAAGAGTACCAGGAAACCTATTATCTTTTTTAATATTTTAATTATCCTCCACTATTCGATTTTCAGAATATGGTTCTGAGGTTCGTTTTGACGCCTATCATCAAAGAACTTCGTTGGATAGGAGTACAAAAAGTAAATGAAGTTAGTGAAGAATTAGGTGGAAGGGAAGGATAATGAAAAAAGGAAGTGAAAGGAAAAAAGCTAGTTTCGGGGTAGAAGTATTCATCAGTTACTTTTCTAGTAGGGAAAAACTCACTCTCAGAATAGAAGGGAAGCCTGAAAAAGAATGCTTCGAACTGACTCACCCACTTCTTTCTTTCCCTGTTCGCCCCTTTATTCTATTACTCATCTGGGGAAAACCGAATTTTCTGCGAATGGTGAACATTTAAAGGTAGCGAACAAAAGTGTTCCCCGAGAGCACTTAAAGGCACAGCACACGAGAAAAAATTCGCGAAATTTTCAAGTGTTTGTGACTTTCAATCATCAGCCATATGAGGCGCTGCGGGGTCAAAGAGATAGCGGACAATAAGAACCTGAAAGGGTGCATTGAGGGCTCAAAGAGGCTTTGTCGACGTCCGCTTCCGGAACGGACGAGTTTCAATGGCGTAGTTGATGCTGCACTTTGTATTTTTCAAAGTGTCTCTACGAAATGTCTTCATTTACGAAAACTGGGCATTCTAGACAAAAAACCTGGACATAGTGCATAAAATGGAGACGATGACAGAGAGAACTTTATTACGACTTAATCTTAGAAGGTCTATCAAACCAATCAGTTCATAAGGCTAGGAACCAGCTCTCATCATTGGTACAACCGATATATAAGTACTAGTTGGCATTTGTTTACAAATATTTCGATACATGGAAAGCGCTCCAACAGGAGCAGTAAGATCATGTGAGGTAAAAAATAGTTATGAATGGAGTTCAGGTAGAAAGAGTCCGGGAAACATACGTACACATTATGTCGTTACTTGTTCCATCAAACGGTATGATATCTCTGACAGAATAAATTCCGCGAAAGAAAGTAACGAGAAAATCAAAACATGAGATTAGAATAAATCCCTGTGAAAAGCCGGATGAACACGGACATAGCGACGACGCGATGTTGCCATTTTTCATGCAATTTCATCCTGAAAAGTTTGGGTAGAGAAAATACTCTTTCTACCTTCGGGAAAGGGTGAGCTTATGAATCCAAGATAAGGCAGTCAAAAGAAAAATAAGCGAAAAATCCGGTGAAAGTAAAGGTACGAAAAGGAAGTCAGCGCTCGAACAGTAATTTTCGAAAAAATGCAGGATAGTGGGAAGGGAAATGGTTCAGTGGGTAAAGGCGGAGGGGCATGTCGATCGCATTCTACTCAGGCTAACCCCTTTGATTAAGTTTTTCGAGGCTCCTATCCTACCTGAGTGATTCCTTTCTCATACGAATCAACTCTTGCAAAAGGGAATCAGTTAAATGATAATGGTGCGAAGGAGGGGTCAATTACCCATACAGGAGCCTTTGAAACAATCAGGAAATAAGCAAATTGCAGAAAATGTAAGTCACCTTAAGGCTGAATCCTCCAGTTTTGTTCATGATGTATCGGTAGTAGAGAAAAATCACCGAGAAAGCCACCGTAAAGACCATTGCGCCGACGGAAAAGCCGAGGACGAAAGCAGGCCACGATAGTTCTGAAATCGATTGTACAAAATAAGGGGAACGAGTTTGACTAGGCATCATAACTGAAGCACTTAGGGACCCAGAAACGCCCTAAACTTACGAAGCAGTAGAAGAAAAGCTACTTTCTCCACTATAACACTACTTTCCAAACGATTATGAGCTTGAAAAATGACTGGTGTATAGGAAAGTTACTCTGCAAGGACTTACCCCAATCAATATCGTGAATGACACCGTTTCCGCTAACATCCATTGACGATTGGATAGCATATCAGTTTTTAGGGTTTACTTTACAATGTGAATAGTCACCGATCAGCACCGTGGCCGACTTTTGAAATTACAGCCGAACCTGTCATCACTATGCGCTGAAATCTTGTCAATGATACGGGTATAGCAGTCTCAATACACTCCCAGCGATTAATTCCCCTTATACATATTTTGTAAATGCCAAGTGTTTCGAGGCTGAAAATTCAGGGTTATTTGGATAATCTAGTTTGCTGGCTTATGACGAGTCAGTCCTTCGACTCATTTCCCTCAGGGCCAGTTCGTCAAAACCACCCCGCCCGCATTGGTACGGTCAGCTTTCTATCTCCCCACACGAGTGCGCTATGCCCGTTTGTTGGCCATTCAAAGCCTTACTTACAGATTGTTCTATAAAAATTTGTGCATATTTTACAGAAGGATTAGAACGAATACGCTCGATGTAAAGGCAAACTTCGCTTTTCAGGTCCCAGGAAACCCTTCATAGGAAGCAACCAATCATGAAAATGGTTTCAACAATCTCAACTGGATCTTTGGTTTCGAAGCATGTCAATCAGCCGTTGTTGGAGCGAAAAGCTACCCAGACATGAGCGTATGAATATCGGCATCTTCACAGGCTTTACTAAGAGGCGGCCGTGTTTAGACGGCCTTGTAGAGGTTGCACCATTCACAGAGGAGCACATTTTCGGAGATTCAAACAGCTGGCCATATGGAGCCCTGACCCATTGCCGTGCTGAAATGCAAATTTTGGATGCTGTAGCTATTTCTCTGCGCAATTACACATGATTGAAATCTCGTCCAAATATCCCCCTTTGTTGTACCATATCGTACAACCCTGAACGTAACTAGTTTTAGGAGACGTTATCTTTCATGGATGCTACTGAATCTGCCACCGATCCACATTCTGTACCTCTTTTCAACTTCAGTAATTTGGATAAGTCTATAACCCATGTTGACGATCTGATGCTAGAGACGGTGAATTCGTGTTCCTAGGCACTGATACTGATCAAATAATCCCAAATGAAATGCTCTGGAAATGATAATCATATAACATTTGCCGCGATCCCACCTTCCTCCTAGGCTAGGCCGCGTAAGCTCGACGTTTTTTTGAAGGAATTTCCAAATTAACATGCATGTGGAAGGGGAACGAGCTTCGGAGGGTTTCGAAAGAGCCAATAATTTGTTTTTGTAAACAAAACTTTTTGTTTGCATATATCACTTGGACTTTGGTTGTGTTAAACCATTGGGAACGAGAATGAAACGATCGACTCCTACATCGGATGGCCACCGAGAATCACTGTATGGCCACGTACTTCTCAAGACGTCCCTACGAATGCCGTGAACTTGACCCTATCTTTTCTCCTTCGTTGCGGATGAGTGTAATTAGAGTAATCAAGTAAACAAGTAAATAAAAGTGGCGCCATAAGTTCAAAGAGAGCTTTATCAATTTTTCAACAGATTATTGAAAAGATAAGAGATCTGGTTATGACTTCTTCTCAGAATACTTGTCTGAAAAATATCCTGTGATCATCTGTAACAGCAACAACGGACAGACTGTAACAGCAAACTGCTACCACTAGCTATCAAGAACCACTTCTTTTACTTTATTTTCATAAATGAATAATATTTATTAGCAGACGATTGCTTTGTGGTATTTGAAAACGTGGAATAAATTGCATGTTTCTTCACCTTGGACAGCTTCCATTCATTTCTTCTCCTCATCCTTTTTCTGCAATTAAGCATATTCGGCAACCATTCCAATGTTTCAAAATGCACAATGCATAGATCAAAATGCACACAATACAGCCTAACATAGACTTGCCAACCGAACCTAATGTCCCACCCGGCTGTAAAAAGAACGCCAATGACTTTTGTTTTTTCGCAGATATCATGTCTAGATTTCAGTTAGGACAGGTTGCTGATTTTCCTCTCTATATGGGCCGTGGGCAAATACAAGTGGCTGGGGCAGTGGCATGTGACTCACTATCACATAAGCATGGTCATGAGTTCGAATCTCGGATTGATACCCGCCTAAGTCAACCAAGCCATCCAGAAATCCTTGTTAGGTCAACTAGTATCGGAATAGCCTGGTAGGATCAAAGCATTGACCTGTACATCGGCCGGGTTCCACAAATCATTGTGTAGGCCACTTCCAATAGACGGACCTATCCTTCAGGTGGGATGATCGAAGCCCAAAGACCTCACCCTTAGAAATTATCTTCGAGAGGGAAAGGGAATAGAAGAATAACCAAGTGTGGGAAATATTGAGAGTGAGGAAGGAAGTTGTTAATTGGTAGAGCTGGAAATAGCAGCCGTTTCTGAAAAACTGAAAACGCCGACGCGGTGACCCAGGTGGGACGTGGTGACCCTTCGGCGTATCCTAGCCCAGTCCTGGACTTCATTTTATCGCAAACAGCTTTTAGAAGTTTGAGTTTTGAGAGTCACTCGTAGCGGCACCCTGAACGTATCTGCAAAAAGGAGCTCATAATATCATGAAATATCTCACCTCTTCTCCTGGCGAAGCTTTTTCATCTTCTATTGGTGGTTGCTAAAAGCCAAGAATGCTCTTAAGAAGTTTTAAAAAAACTCGAAAAATTGAATTCTCACGGTTTTTGAAGGGCCTTGCTTGTCATCCTCCTTCTTCTCCCCAGGAGACTTCTTTTCATCACTCTCTTTCTTTTCATCTTTTTTCTCCTCCTTCTTATCCGGCGACTTTTTCTCGTCGTCTTTCTTTTCATCTTTCTTTTCATCACCCTTAATGTTAAAATTCTGGGAATCTGTAGAGTCCGTTGAATCAATAGATCTAAACGGTACGTTACCCTACTCAAGTAATTGTAAGGCAGCTAACTCTGAGAGGGAGTGCTAAGGTACTGTAACTGCTCACCTTAGGCTTAGCTTCTTCCTTCTTCTTTTTGTCTCCTTTTGGAGTTTTCGCCTTGGCTTTCTTGCCGCTTTTTTTCTTTGATGACTTGTCTTTCTTTTTCTTTTTGTCTTTACCCTTTTTCTTTTTATCTTTGTCTTTTTTCTTCCCTTCACTTTCTTTCTTCTCTTCTTCTTTCTTCTCACCTTCCTCCTCTTTCTTTTCCTCGCCTTCCTTTTTCTCAGCTCCAGGCTCCTTCATTTCACTTTTCTTCTCTCCTTCTCCCCCTTCCTGAAGATCATCCCATAAAGTCGTCAAATGATAGGATCTTGTACTGAATTCTGATCTTCTCCTTTTGTCATTCGAGAGGCCGATCAGGAAGTCTTGGGAATGGAGAATGGGAGTTTTTAAGGTAGGATTACTCAAAAGGCCCAATGGGACACACGCATATTATGTGATGGTAAGATTTATTACGTTTTTCATAACACTCGCATTTCTCTGGAGTCCCCGGAATCTTGAAAAGGTGATTAAACCTTTCAGGAAAGAGTTTGCCGTGTTGCTCCTGATTTGATATTAATAACCCATGGATTGAAAAGTCGATTATGCCTCTATAAAGTCATTTATTGTGGAGTTGAAGGTAACGTTTAAAAATCCCAAGTTATAAAATATGTAACTCCGCCTAAGTTTACCCTCGCGCACCCACTCGGATGTGTGGATCAACGGCCAAGGTATTTATGTTATTGGAAACTGATACCTATTGATAAGACCCGATAGAAAGATATTTTGCCCAGTTGCTGATTTGCTCGGCCCATCTTCTAGGCATCCAGCTACAACGATGGACTGGTGTAGATAGTGAGTGATAAGGAGTGATACCACGCGATAAAGGCCTATCGAATGCTCAATCGATAAGATGTGTTGCAGAGATGTACAGATCGAGCTGAGAATGAGCGCCTCAATTAGTACCCATAGATGTTGCGTGTTAGGCGGGCGCTGTTCATAGTCTGCGTCACACTTGAGATCCGTAGAGGCAGGAATCTCGATTAACTTGTCAGTTGGCCCATATTTAGCATAAAACAACTCACTTCCTTTGCCTCCGGAGTAGGAGTTCCAGGACTGGCTGATGCTGGCCCTTTTTCTTCCTGTTCAAAAATGAACTTCGCTGAGGTTTAAATGGAGGGGATCATCAAGTGATGCTGTATGTAAGGTCAAATGAACGGAAATGTATGACGTTTTCAGAAACTTCCAAAAAAAATTCTTCATAAATCGTTTTTTTTTGCAAAAACTCTGAATAGAAATCATCTATGCACATACCCCTTCTCCTCCACCTTCACCTCCTTCTTCTTCTTCATCCTTCTTCCCACAGATCGCCATTAAGTATGCCAGGAACGCCCATTGTAAAATTAGCTGCAGCCATGGCACCAGCACATCTCAAAAGGGGAAAACTCCATGATAGTGACAGTTGTATGGGAACTAGCCGTTATGGATTCCCGTTGCATTGTATTGATGCTGCTAACTTACCAAGCATGATTTGACTAAAAGAAACAAAATGAACCTTGCTACACAAACTCCATGGGGAGCTACTAAGAGCTGATAATGAGTTATCTGCATTCAACAGCCTCACTACTGAGCCATTACTCCACAGCAGATGATGAAGGCTGGCATCAGTAACGGTCTGATACCAGATGACGAGTATTCCCAGGTGTGGGTCCTTTCACCCGAAGGGCTGGGAGAAACAAACCTTGAAGTCTAGTGGAATCTCACGGTAATTGCCGCGTGATTTCGAAGGAAACGAAGTTTCAGAGGGACACTTGGTTCTCATTGTAATCCGGCTCGTGATGATTCTGAAGAGGGTCTTGACTAAGTGACTGAGTGACAAATTTTAAAGTCATAAATCCTCGTGCCAGATAAACGGTTCAAGGGCTACCATCGGATGGTATAATAGTGCTAATGCTGAGGTAATTTTTTCTCTAGGTATTCCCTGAGTAACGTGTCCCTTGTTAAAGGTACACTTCACGATAAAAAATAGTATCTAAGATTTCAAGCTAGTGTGAATCTATGGCCCTGTAAATAGTATATGGGCCGTCGCGGAGCCGAAAACGGCCAGACAGTGCATAATCAGGGCTTTACAACCAGATTGACCGGCTCAGATACTCAAAGTGGCCGTGTTATGCCGGCCTTGTTCTCACGGCACTATTCATAGGGCGAGACGAATAGCACGCTCATATGCGAGACATCCAGACTCCCTTATAAGATCCAACAGTTGTCGCCTTTCTTTCCTTTTTGAGTAAGTACGTTGGTCAAGCAGTTTTTGGAGCCCTTTCAACGCCCTGTTCACGCCCCGAAATGTCCCGTGTACTATCCTTGGAGGCCACGGGCCCACCTCAAGCCACAGCCAAAAGATTTGCCCACAAATAACCAACCTAAGGGAGGGGACTTTTTCAGGAACCATTCTGATTATGAACTCTGTTTCTAAAGTCGAGGGCTCAGGTATCAGTGCAAAACGCTGTTTTACCAGAGAAACCATCATCAGATGTCGTACCACCTTTATTGTTCTTTCGTTTCATACATACGTTTATTTGCCGTACATTTGGTTTATTGAAAAACGGTGAAAAATCCAACGGAGAAAGTGGTTTTGCACGACTCTACTACTCTACAATTCACTTCTTCTTGCCCTTCTTTGATTTCTTACTTCCCTTCTTGCTCTTGCCCTTCTTCTTCTTTCCTTTATCCTTCTTTCCCTTTTTCTTGGCCAAAGCTACTCCTTTTTCCAACCCTTTCTTATCTCCCGATGGCTTATCTGAATCGGAATCTTTCTTTGCAGAATCACTGTCTGGCTTTTTGTCACTTTCCTCCTTCTTGTCTCCAGCATCCTTCTTTTCTTCCTCCTTCTTCTCTCCTTCTTCCTTCTTTTCACCCTCTTCCTTCTTTTCACCTTCGTTTACTTGCGAGGCTGCCGATTTCGCTCCTGCATCAGGAGCGCCGGGAGCCCCTGAAGCAGGCCCTCCTTCAGGTGGAGGTGCTCCGGGTGCTCCTCCCTCTGGAGTTGGAGTACCCGAAGATGATGCAGGTGCTCCTTCCTGTAAAGATTTTGGTACAGTGAGATAGCCGAAAGCATCCGAAAAGTTGTAACTTAAAAATCCCACCAAGACAGCCAGAAAGGCATATGCTTACCCCTTCACCTTCTTCACCTCCTTCTTCTTCGTCGTCTTTCTTCCCACAAGTCGTTAACATATACATAAAGCATGCCCATTGTAGAATGAAATAAAGCCAAACGTCTAACATATCCCTGAAAACAGAAGTTAAGAAGGACGGCTTCAACAGGGAGGTTATAAGGAGTCACCAGCAGGAGATTGCAGTTGAGCGCACAGCGCAAATGAAGTCTCCAACTAAATAAACCGGTCTCTTATTCAAAAGATAAGAAGACCTATCAAACAGATAATAACATCGACTGCAGGCAATCAAGCAAAAGTTGGCGATAATACTGTTTTCAGTGAATTCCTATTTCATATAGAAGCGATTGAGAGGCTGTCGGCCTGTTCCCACAACATGATGGTCCTTGAATAAGGGGAGGATTCGGACAATTCTGTAGTTTCAGGACGTTCAACAGTGCCACCAATGTCAATGAGGAGAGTCGTTCTCATCTGATAAAAAGGAGAGTCAAATAGTGCAAAAATTAGGGTCCCTGTTCCCTGTTAGTTACGGTCCCTGTTCAGTGTGAACTCGTGCTGCCCTCTTAGGTGGGAGCTTTTCACCCGCCTCAGTCTTAGGCTCTATCGCTTACGGTTGGATTTGATAAGGGTAACAGGCATGTGTATTATTATTTGCTAGTACTTCTTCTAAAAGAGCTTCTCTCCGAAAATGGAATGAGCTTCTTATCCCATATGAATGTTGTTATGTTGGGAGGAAGCTCGATGCCTTTATTGTGACCATTCAATTTCCACCAGACAGATTTCACCTGAATTTTAATCGTATTAAAGATATTTCAGTAGAAAAAAATTTTGGGGTTAAGCTAACTGTCTCCAAATCTATCTGAATCTCCGGCAGAGCAACTGAGAGCTCGGTCGCTCAAATGGATCTCTATCCAGGATTCGATCTTCGAACAACGCATGGTGTGGAGACTACGCCACCTGGCCCTACTCTATCTCTCTCTCTCTCTCTTCAAAAGCAGCAGTTTGCTCTGGGCTAAAAACTCAAGATCAGAAGTATTCAACTGGAGAAGTTCTCATAAATAATTAAGGCTTAGATGTAGCTTCCTCTAGCTACCTTTTTCTTCGTGAATACTTTATGTGAAGTTCTTGACAACGGTGGCAATCCATTTGGCTTCCTTCCTCTGCAAATCATGATTTCTGCATTTCAGCCTTTAAATGGAGTCAATTTGCTAGGCAAGTTCAACTAAACTATCTAATCGAAGAGTGCTTATAAATAACTTTTCAAATGAGACTGTGCATCGACAACTTAACTCGCCAACCCGGTGGAAATTTTTAGATTTTTTATTTTACATTTATAATTTCATTTCATAGAAGAATAATTTTTGTCTTTATTACTGGAAACGTCCTTATTTGGTCTTATTGTTTTTTATTTACACACATTTTGAAGGATCTGTTTCTATCGTATTCACCCATATTCCTATTTCAGTAGAGATCCACAAGCTACTTTCAAAACGCCAATGCGTGAAATCACTAGGCGTGGTGGCATACCTCAATACCAATTGCTTCTCCTTTTAAGGCCGATAGGGCTGGAAACGCCTATTTTTTTGAGGGGCGTAAAATAGTCCCCCAAGTACGACATAAGGGAAAGTAACAACTCATCTCTTTCGGCTAGCTATTGCAAGTCATTGCATAGACCAAATGCTTTTCAAAGGCAGTACGAATATGAATGGAGGTCGAATGTGAAGGCGCATCCCGGAACCAAGTTGGGCAGTACTTTTTCACTATCGCCATCGTCAGGGTGGATTGGCAAGTGGCACCTTATCACACGCTTGGTTCGAGGTCCATCCCGGCAGATACCCCTTCCTTTCGGGGCAGACTACAAACCCATTCGAAACGCCATTACGGTTATGAATTAAACTGGAATGCAGGGAACCAGCTCATAATGGGATTGATTGAAGCCAGAAGGCTTAAAATTCACTTTGTTAGTAATGATATCGAAAAGACAAGTAAACTTTTTTATTATTATTCCATTGTTCATTAGGAAACAAAGTTCAGAATTTTTTCTGTTCAGTGCTGCTGCTGTATGAAGTCTTAGCCATGGACGAGTCTGAAGTGTTGAGGAAAATCTTCACCGACTATCATCCAGGCATTCGTCCCAAACTACAGCCTGACTACATCACAAACGTCACTATACGTATAGTCATGTTCTCATTACTGTCTATCGTAAGTTCCTCCAAAATGATTTTTTTGTGTTCCCAACCTTGTTCATAAGAACCTTGGAAGGGGTCTCAGGGCAGAATACTTGACGCACGTTACAGTGGGTTCCAGTTGCTGAGTGCCCGGTTCGCACCCATAAAAAAGTACGTGTCGAATACGGGGGGGGGGGGCAATTTGGTAATCATAGGGCTAAATAGGTAAGGAAAAAATTGCTGGCGCATGGTCATACAAGTGGGTAGTGTCCTTGTACGCAATGGCAGCTTTGTTCCAAGCCTGAGAATATGTTTACTTTATTTTCATTTTTTATTTTCTATCACTATTTAAAGGAATAGAGGATAAGGTTTTTGGCATTAATCAATCCCGTCAGAGGAATGCGCCCCCCGCACTCGACTACAATTCAGAATCGTAGTGGCGTATTGGAAGGGTAAGTGGCCTATACAATGACTTACGATGGCCTGCCGATGTACAAGTCAGCGCCTTTACCCTTCCAGATGAGTCTGGTACCAATTAATTGACCCCGTAAGGATGGAAGGCTTGGTTGGCCTGGGCGGATATCGATCCGGGATTCGAACCCTTGACCGAGCGTGTAAGGTAGTGCGCCACCTGCCCTATTATTATTCAGTTATTGAAATTGACCACTTCAGAACGAACAGACCCAAACAATCCGGTTCATGATGGATTTGTCGTCTGAATGGGTCGACCCTCTTTTGAATTGGGACACGGCTTCAGGAAACTTCTCATCGCTCAAAGTGCCTGAACAAAATGTGTGGACACCGGATATCACTTTTTTTGATGCGTATGTTCTCTATAACAATATAGCCTCCCTAAACTTTTACCTTGAAGTATCACATAAATTCTTGTGCTAACCGTAATATGTCATGGACTTTACTTTTCTACCCTTTCAAAGCTCTTTTAAAAACCTTATTTACTTCTAGCACGTCCAAAAGCGACCTTATCTCGTACGAACGACGTATGGTAGTGCTAAACTCTGATGGTTCCATTCTTCAGTCTTCTCCTCAGGTACATTACATATTAGGATAATGCTTATTTTTCCATCTGACCTTTTGCTAAGCCGGTTAAGTTGNTTTTTTTTTACCTTGAAGTATCACATAAATTCTTGTGCTAAATTCTGTGCCGTAATATGTCATGGACTTTGCTTTTCTACCCTTTCAAAGCTCTTTTTTTAAAATCTCGCTTTCTTCTAGTACGTCCAAAAGCGACCTTATCTCGTCCGAACGACGTATGGTAGTGCTAAACTCTGATGGTTCCATTCTTCAGTCTTCTCCTCAGGTACGATATTCAAGTATACTGAAATTGGGTCATACTTTTCACATTACATATTAGGAAAATGCTTATTTTTCCATCTGACCTTTTGCTAAGCCGGTTAAGTTGTTTAGTTTGAATTGTAGGCGGAACTAGCTGACGTTGAGCTCCATGGATCAGTTAGCTCTGCCCATCAGGCAGCTCCGCCTACTCATAGACTTGTAGCGCAAAGAGTTCGCGGTTTAGGCTTTTGGCATAGGCTTTTGACTATTATCAATTGAATTAAGAAGTTATCAACAGAATTAAATAGCTAAAATTATTGAATAAAGAAAAAATGAATTAACTGCTTGGTACGCAAAATATTTATTTGAACTTGTGTCCTTTCCAGGTTGTCTCACATCCATGTGAAATCGACGTCGTTGACTTTCCTTACGACACTCAAACTTGCCGATTAGCTCTCGGCTCATGGCAATACGATACAGGCTCTTTGCAGATCCAAACTACTGACGACAATTACGATTTTTCCGAAGATATCACCGTGAATTTTTCAGTTCTTTTTATGAAATCTGTTTCCGAGTAATATCTTTCGTCCGATCGTTATCCCACGCTCCAAAAATTGAGGGTCTCTTGACACGATTGTCCTTTAAATGTGGACGCAGCTACCCCACTCTGACGACAAATGAAGTGATCAGGGTCCTATACCCGGAGAGAATAAGGTCCTAGAGAGGGCCGCAACTCATATACAGAACACTTCAGTTGCTTAGTAAATTCTTACTTTGATACATTCACCCCTGACCAGGTGGTAGTCATACCAAAGGGTTTGGTTGTTATCTAGCAAATCCTATCTATGTTGCCCATTGCTTTTGAAGATAAAGAAGCAGCCGCCTTATCTCGTGGAGCGTTCACACTATGAGGCTCTTCGAGGATTCGTCGTAGTTATCGTAGGTGTACTTAAGTAGCCCATTATCCGGAAACCTAGAGCGGCCTTGAGACTCATACCTCCCTTGCTACATNAGAATAAGGTCCTAGAGAGGGCCGCAACTCATATACAGAACACTTCAGTTGCTTAGTAAATTCTTACTTTGATACATTCACTCCTGACAACGTGGTAACCGTACCAAAGAGTTCGGTTGCTTCCTGGCGAATTCTGTTGGTGGTGCTTTTGAAGATACCGAAGCAGCCGCCTTATCTCGTGGAGCGTTCACACTATGAGGCTCTTCGAGGATTCGTCGTAGTTATCGTAGGTGTACTTAAGTAACCCATTCTCCGGAAACCTAGAGCGGCCTTGAGACTCATACCTCCCTTGCTACATCATGCACCTCAGTATCGAAGAGGATCCTAGTACCACTAAAGTCGCTTTCCCCACTCTTGAACTCAATTTTCAGTTCTGAAGACCGTAGTGAAGGAGTTATCATTTCGATATAGCACTTTTTACTGATTTTTCCATTTCCATATGTGGCATTTAGGGCAACAGCGAATGGAAGTTAGAGGGCTTGTCGTCCAAATTGACCCTCGATGCTACGTATGAAGAAGCTGACTTTCAAGTGGTGAGTTGAGTATTGTCGCTTGTCCATGTGTTCGAATAAGTTCCGGTGTTTGATGAAAACTTACCTTAATGCTCATTGCTTACACGAGTTTGATCTGCTTTGATTATTCTACAGAAAAAGCAGCATAAACTATAGTAAAGTTTTGGCGATGGCAAAAAAAGGATGCTTTTCTTTTCCGCTCAAACCTTTTACTTTCAGTTGGAGTTTTCTGTTCGGTTACGTCGAAATTCACAATTTTATACGATGGCCATTGTAATTCCGACTTGTGTTTGCACTTTTCTCTGTATAAATGGTCTATTTTTACCCAGTGAGATCAGTGGGCTGAACATCGAGAAGGTAGCGTCACTTACCTATACCACTTTTGTTTCGT